TGTCGATGAGATGCTGTCGATGAGATGATGTGTGTGTCCCCCTCACACACTGGCTGAAGATGAAGTGACATAGCTGCCTAGTAGTGCACGCCCGCCCCATCACGACCCAAACCCAGATGCACAGAACAGCTAGACAGCAGAGGAAAGAGAGGCCAGAAGGGCAACAAAGCAGTCCAGCCTCAGGCGCAGAACGTGCAGGCAAGTAAAGATGCTGTGTCGATGAGATGCTGTCGATGAGATGATGTGTGTGTCCCCCTCACACACTGGCTGAAGATGAAGTGACATAGCTGCCTAGTAGTGCACGCCCGCCCCATCACACACGACCGATCCACCCAAACCCAGATGCACAGAACAGCCAGACAGCAGAGGAAAGAGAGGCCAGAAGGGCAACAAAGCAGTCCAGCCTCAGGCGCAGAACGTGCAGGCAAGTAAAGATGCTGTGTCGATGAGATGCTGTCGATGAGATGATGTGTGTGTCCCTCTCACACACTGGCTGAAGATGAAGTGACATAGCTGCCTAGTAGTGCACGCCCGCCCCATCACACACGACTGATCCACTGTAAACCCAGATGCATAGAATAGCCAGACAGCAGGAGAGAGAGAGGCCAGAAGGGCAACAGAGCAGGCCAGCCTCCGGCGTGTGTGATGGGGCGGGGGTGCACGCCAGCCCCATCACACACGACTGATCCACCCCACACCCAGATGCACAGAACAGCCAGACGGAGGGAAAGGAAAGCAGTAGAATAGACAGAGGGAGGGGGGGCGACCGAGACACAAACTGACAGGCAGGCAAAGAACCCCCCCCGCCTCACCCACCCGGCCGTCTTCGCTTCAAAGGGTCTCGAAAGGACATAGGCCAGGACACCAGGTAGTCACCGTCACCGCCGAGATGATGCGAGAGCGCCGGCACGCCAAGCTCCTTCGAGCGATGTCGAGCGATGTTGTAAGACCAGATCTATGCCGGGAGTCGCCAGACCGGCTGACAGTAGAGCCGTAGAGTGGCTGAGAGCTCGAAGGGGCGCGTGGTGGTGACACATCTGCCGCTCGTGGAAAGAGGTGTCGAATGAGAACGAATGACAGGTCGACAGGACCGGGAGGGCGAGGCGGAGCCGATGGCAAGCTCCCCCCCCCGCCCTCGAGGGCAAGGAGGGGTGCTGTTGGCCGATCTCAGTGCGAGCTTAGTGTTGCATGCAAAGCCCCCAAGCTCGCATATGCGTTCGTTCTCCCCCCCCCACCCTCCTTTGTACAGATGGTGCGTCCATGAAAATAGTGCGAGTCCCGGAAAAGAACGGGGACGAAGGTGAGAGACGAAATGGATGTCGCTGAAGAGGCTCACCGAGGCGTCATTCCCACGTTTATCGCCCAGTGCGTGAAGGAGTACTCGACGACACCGTCATTCACTTGCGTGACGAGGCTGCGGGAGAAGAGAACGGCTGTCCCAGGTCATGAGGAGACGGGCAGGGCAACGTTGAACCAACATCCTTGGTCACGAGTGAGCGACTGCAGGAGAAAGCGGCTCTTTTCCACAGCGGAGCCTTCACAAGACTTAGTGTGTGTGTTTCTTCGTGCTTGAATGGTGTGTTCAGAGTCCTCGTTACGAGCCTGGTTTGGTTGAGTCGACGCTGAGAGCTCCGACAAAGGACGAGAAACCTATCCTGAGGTGACTCCTGTAACAGTTCCGCACACTGCAGTGAACCGGATCTCTTTTGTTTGTCTCCAGAGTTCACTCGTACCTGGAGCACCTTCATGGCGAACTCGACAGGCAAAACATCGCTCTGCAGGTAAGCTCAATGCCGCTGCCTCTCTCGTCTCGATCTCAGCCCGCCTTCCCTTTGTCCGCTCTCAGCAGTCCCTGTTGCATGCGCAGAATCTTCGGAACGGAGAACGGGGAAAACGACGATCCCCATCAACCTTTCTCGGATCTGGCCGAGCCGACTGCTCCCTGTATCAGGAGCAGGCAGAAGATGGTCTTCGCAGAGCCATCAGGAAACAGCCACCCGAAGAGAGGGACGCAGGTGAGACAAATATCCAACGGACAATGTCTGTCATCACTCCTGACATCGCTTGTTGTCAAGTTAGGCCGACATGTAAGAGGGAGCAGTCGGCTGAACGGCGGCATGACGCATGTATGCAAGGCAAAAACACCCTGATTCATTGAAGTCTTCATTCTCACTCTATGCAGGGGATCGATGGCGAGTGCCATGTCCGCAGACTTGATAAACGTGACCTCGGCGCACTGATCCCGTCATTTTATCCACCGCGGCCGGCCAAGCGTCTTCGCTCTCGGTCCCTCCCACCCCCAGAAACACAGGACGAGCAACAGGCACTGCTTCGCGACACGAGCGGTGAAAAAGAGCCGGGATTCGACGATGTCTTTGAGAAAGAAGCCGACACTGTCAGGGCGCAAACGAGAGACGGGATCCTCTTCCGTGATGGCCATCTGCTGACCCCTACTGCGAGAAACGAGCCAAGAGTATCATCGGTTCCGCCAGTGCCGCGCTCGACCGGGGTGATTATGAGAGAGCTGAAGCCCCATCCCAATCCTCTCGTCCTGCCGGCAGTCTCTCTCCGCCACTACCCAAACGAATACAGACAATGGCCAAGCCTCGACCCTTGTCCGCAAATGGCTGCGCAACTGAAGAATCTGGATGAGAGGAAAACGGCTCTGCTCCACCAGTCTAGGAGGGGCGAGAAGCGGGCGGCAAACGAGCAAGAACCATTCGATGTCATGTCTTGGTGGCGGGGAGACAGAATGCAGCATGGAGTCAATGCAAGAGAGGAAACGACGAAGCAACACAATCCAGCGGAGGTCAGGCCCACGCCAGCAGACCAGACGGAGCCAAGAAAACCTGCGGAAGCGAGCCAACTTCAACCACAGCCAGATCCTCCGAGGACTGAAGACAATGCGCCGTCACTGTCTGTATCGGCCTCGCCCCCGCCGCGCTCGCCCTCCCCCCACGACGAGCAAGCGCTCATACATCGCGATCGGTGAGACAAAACACGCCCGATACGCATTTTCGCTGCGATGACGTTTCCTTCTGCTGCTTCCGTGCAGTCAAGTGGTGAGATATTCAATTCGATGCCACCAGTCAGTGCGACAGCTCCTGAACAGCCCCCACAGCAGCCTGTTGATGCGGGATTTGAAAACGTCGCCGTGCCGGCGTTCAGCTTACCGCAAGAACCGGCTAAGGGCCCTTCGAGTGAGGAGATGCATAAGCAGGAAAGTATACATGACGAAAGTAGCGACATGTTTGGATCTGGCGGGTTGCAAGAGCGGCCAAGAGGCCTACACCGGGTATGGTTGCAGTCGAGCCAGCCATGGAAGAGGAAGAGGAAGAGGAAGAAGAGATCACAGCGTTGAACTTGACGGACGAGGTAAGGAGGAAGAACGACAAAGTCGATCTGACTGCAATTCTCATTCTCTTATCTCCCGTAGATGGTGGCAAACGACGAAGACGTAGAGGACGTCGTCGAGCCTGCCGCCGAAGGTATGTCAACCACGGTTGTGCGCAATGTCCAGCCATCCATCGACCACCCCGCATCCGTGTCTCTACCAAGGATCAAGAGGAGCGGTTCCTTCTCTCGCCATCCATCCAGAGAGTCCTATTCGTCATCTTCCACTTCGGTTTCACCTGTCGCTCCTCCAGCTCCCTGGGTCACGCCCCCCCATACACCGCCAATGCCCTCACCCAAGGCTGTCCATGCCGCACGAAGGAATTCTGACGCCCTCGTCGGGGCGATTGCCAAGTCTGGTGGTCTCAAAAAACTGTCGAGAGAGTGCGTCGTGCGTCGCTGCAGACGCCCTTCCCGCGTCTTCGCTTACTGGCATTGACAGCCACTGTCGAAGACTAACACCGGAGGGGCTCGGTGTCGATGGTCGTGGAGGAGAAGGAAGAGCCTGAAGAAGTCCAGGCGGAAAGTGAAATGGCGCATCCCGCCGGTTCCGATGCTGGAAGCGTGGCGGGGAGGTCTGGGCGGGGTGAGGTGATAAGCCTGATGCAGACTGTGGGGGAGATTGTGAGGCAGCCGCAGTCATTCATGGAGAGGCTTGAGGGCTTTCTGCCTGCGACCCAGCCGGCTGAGCCGACCAAGACATCACCCGTGTCTCCACCAAAGAAGAGAAGCTCTCTTTCGTCCCTTCCGTCGTTCCCTCTCGGCTCACTTGCGGAGGAAGTGCCTGCATCGTCCAGCGCTGAAGAGAGCCCCGAGACAGAGGAGAGCGAGAGGTCGGTGGAGCGAGGCCCAGTGGCACGGATGGGTGATCGAGTGACCAACCTAATCACTGGGGCGCTGGACAATATCGGGCTTGGTTCTCAAACGACGCCCGAGAAGGCTGAATCACCGCCTAGGCCATCCCTATCTGTTGCACCTCCCCCTCCTCCCCCTCCTCCCCGGCTGGAAGAGAAGAGGCGATCGAGCACTGACAAAGACATACGGCCCTCCGTCTTCTCACAAGTGTCGACATACGCTCCCACACAGATGTTCCGTCAATCGGTCGCTGCGCGGGAGGAGGCTGACGAGCCGTCAATGTCATCATCAGAGGCTGAGGGAGAAACTGAGACAGGTGTGTTTCAACTAAGGCGGTTCCTGCCCCAGCAACTCTTTGCCGCGGCACTCACGGCCAAGGATTCCTTTCCATCATTGCCCGAGTTGAAAAACGTCGCAGAGAGGGATGAGAGTTTGTCGTCGGCGTCTTTCACGCCTTCTTCTGAGCGGCAAACAAGGGCTGCAAAGGCGCAGGCATCGCGGCCGACGTCTCCGCCAGTCCGTGTACCGCCACTGAAGCTACACACACGTGGGACCGCCCCGAAGGATGAAAAGATCTCGCCCATCAAGACGGTTATTCGGGCGAAAGAACAAGTCAGCCCGCCACGACCAATCACCAAAGCAGGTAGATATTCATAGAATAGCGAGGACAGGCACCAGCCCTTGAATGCGTGTCTGTCTGTCTGTCTGTCTATCTCTGTCTGTCTCTTTTGCCTGCAGCTGCCAGCACTGCCAAAGAGCAACTGGCTCCTGCAGAGTCTGCCACGGCAGAAGAGCCGTCAGGGATGCCATCGAGGACCCAGTCAGTGCCGTTCAAGACAGGAAGGAGCCGTGAGTCCCTCCAGTCACAGCACAGATACTATACCGCCAAGTCGCCAACCTCACTCACCGACAGGGACAGACGCCTGTCAGGTAACACACCAACGAATACAATGTGTTCGACAGAATGTGCCTCTTTCCACTTCCCTGACAGGTCGAAGACGCATGACGGCGGACCCACCCGCCCATTTGACATCGATGCACGCCATGTCCTTCAAGACTTACACCGACGAGGCCCCCATCATGGCTGACGAAGCATTCGAGAGCCTTCCCTCCTCTGAAGCCACATCCCATCAGCCGCTCGAAGTTGAAACGAAGGAGGAAGCAGCTATTGACCATCAAGCGGAACTTGTCTCGGAGTCCGCAAGCGACACACGGCGGGAAATCATCCAAGCGCCAGCAAGCAGCGAGCAGCAAGCGCCCCCCGTGGGGCCGATTCCGCCAAGGAAGGATGTCTGGCTACCAGAGGCCAAGACAGAGAAGATCGATGAGGCTCCGCCAGCTCTGCCGATTCATTCGAGGCCAACGGACGATGGAGTGGCTGCTCGTGTTGAAAAGGAAGCGGGCAAAGAAGTGAATGAAGCTGCGCCAGAAGATGCGGAGGCAAAGTTCTCTGACCAGGTCGTGGCCGTGGGGGAGAGTGAAAGGGAGAGGGCAGAGGACACTGATGAAGCTCCACAGCAGCTCGAAGAGCCGCAGCCGGCAGTCAAAGCAGCATCGCTGATCCCTCTGGTTGTTGAGCAAGATCTCCAGACTGGAACAAAAGATGTGGCTGAAGTTCCGGAGCAGCATCAAAGTGACAAGGCGGAGTACACTGATGAAGTGCCACAACAGCCAGAGGGGCCACCACCGGCAGCCGACGCGGCATTCGCACCTATCGCTGCAGCGGCGATCCCTGCAAAAGCAGAGCCGGTGCTCGAGGTGGAAAGAAAAGGCTCGGCTGATGTTCTGGAGACACGAGGAGACTTGCGTGCAGCGCTTCCGCTTCCCCCACCGAGTCCTCCAGAAAGCGAAGCCTCGCATGAGGGGGACAAGTCTGTAGCTGCAGAGGAGAGGAGCGGCTCTGACGATAGTGTCCCGCCACCGCCGCAACCAGCGCCCTATGCTCAAGAGCCGATCGAGGTTGCAGCCGCTCCCGCTGCCCATCCCCCACGGCTACCTAGCCCCTCTGCGTCTCCCAGCTCATCCATTGAGACATCCTCCCGCCGCTCTCTACCTTCACAATCTCGACGACCCCCGCCCCTTCCACCACCTGCCCCGCCTCAAGCCCCTGACGAGGCGGTATCGCTATCATCGCATGGGTCCCTGTCGATGCAAGACGAAGGTGATAGTGGATGAGTGTGAGATGATGAGATGATTGTCCTGTATGTGTCTGTGTCGAGCCACGATCTTTGCATGAAGACATTGCGATTCATCAAAATTGTCACGGTGTAACTGACCAGTCAAAACGTCGGCTTGCGCCCTTCCATCAATCTTCTGTTTCCTTTCTCCCGACCTTACTGGCCGAGTGCGTTACCACCGACTCACTGTTTCCTTTCCGTTCCCACCACCTCACTTTTGTCTTCGATTACTCTGCCTCCTCTTCCTCCTCACTCTCTTCCTCCTCTCCCTCCTCCCTCTCTCCCTCCTCTCCCTCCTCCCCTTCGTCGTCATCCTCATCCCCTTCGTCGTCATCCTCATCCTCCACCTCTCCACTGCCCCACCCCCTCTCACACTCGCCCTCCTCACTCTCTCCCTCCCCCTCTCCCTCCTCTCCCTCCACCTCCTCACTGCCCCGACACTTCTTCTTCTTCTTCCTTCTCTGCCGTAGCATCTCGCCACACAGCCGAGCGGCCAGTCCAGCAGGCTTGGCTGGTCGACCCTTGGCGCAGGTCGGCCAGACGAACTGACCCTTGTTGTCAGTCTGCAACGAGCACACAGACGACTCGTGCAGACGGGCCGGCGTATACTGACTGCCTTATTCTGCATATCAATGCAGTGTGGTGGACCATCCGGCCAGCCACAGAAACCTCCCGTCACTTACTCGACAACACAAACGCTGCCAATCCCGACTTGTCTTTCCGTGTCTGAAGGTTCCGATCCCGAGTCCGCCAAGTACTGCCACCTCTTCAGTGGTGTGCCGGCAGAATGGGACAAGGAATTCGATGAATTGCCCGCATTCCTCGAGGCTCTCCGCTCAGCCAACGCTGTGAGTACACGCTGACATACACACCCCATCCAATGGAAAAGACACGGACACATTCTCTCTCTCTCTCTGTGTGCTGTATTATCCAGCACTGGTGGCCTGCATCTGACTGCAGTCCTGACCACGACAACACGCCGGCAGGCGCAATGGTGAACCAATTCTCGGGAATGCTGCAAAGATCAGGCGGACACACACACTGGTGGACTCCTTCATCGTGGGATGCTTCCACAGTCACCTCTTCTTGGTGTTCTGGCCGTAGAAATTGATGTGGTAAAGATCAGGACTGCAGGGCTCGGCTTTGGTGGAGTGTCCGGCCACGACACCACCAGCTGTGGCATCCAGGATCAAGACTTGGCAGTCCGCATCGCCGTTGTGGAGCTTGACCCCCGTTCTGCTGTACACACGGCCGCCGCTCCTCCAGACGTAGAGATGCTGACCACGGGATGGTGCGATTGTTGCCATGATGCCTTGACACACGAGTTTGCCGCTAGGCAACCATATGTGAGGACGGAAATTGAAGTGGAAAACAGAGGGGAAAAGTGGTGGGCGGCCAGTGCATCCTGGCCCGGGGGGGCTCGGCGTCTTTTTCCACTGGGTGGGTATACACCGAGAATACGGACGCCAACAGCCACAGTGGAGAGGCTGTCGAGCCAGCCCTGGCCTCATTCTTGCAGAGGGCGATGAAGGTGAGCCAGCCCTGCCTCATTCTTGCAGAGGGCGATGAAGGTGATAGTGGAGAGGAGTTCTTGCAGAGGGCGATGAAGGTGATAGTGGAGAGGAGGGGTGATAGTGGAGAGGAGGGGTGATAGTGGAGAGGAGGGAGCGTCACTGGCTTCATCCGCCGGGCTGCGTCGAGAGACATGGCGTCATTCCTCCCACAACAGCTGTTCGGGCCGACTCCTCCCCCGCCACCAGACAAGCGAGCGTCGGCTGCCAGCGTTCTTTCAACACATGAGCCCCCGGTGCCGAGCCCAGCAGCCGCAAAGGCAAAGATCGCTCCTGCCACACCTCCCCCAGCCCCCCCTGCCGATCTCTTCGACGAATCTGAGAAGTCCGACACGTCTTTGCGTGGTCGACTGGCAGCAAATCTTATCAAGGGCCGTGAGTTTGCGGCGACAGTTCTCAACAACATGAGGGGTCAGACGGGACAGGGGACTGCAGCGCCACCTCGGCCTCCCCCTGCGCCCCATCGGCCTTCTCCAATGGCATCGATGCCGAGTGGCACGTTCTCTGAGAAAGCATCTGTCTCGCGATCATCATCCTCTGTTGGAGCTGCCCCCGGTGTCGCCTCTCGGCCGAAACCGAAGCCCCGTCCCCCCCCAATGATCCCGTTGCTGCACAGATCGCCTGGCTCCGCCGACTCAGACTGAGAAACCGGCCAGGATAGGGAGGGGGGGAAGGGAAAGAGGGGCGGTTCTTTGAGAGATATTGATTGACGTCATAGGGCCCTTTGTCTCATAGATAGATAGTGTGGCATCGTCCATAGAGTCTTCGCTGCCGACGATTTGTGTCTGTTGTGTGTGGATTATTGCCGGTGTGTCGGTGTCCCTCAGCCCTACGTGTGTGCCTTGATCTCACCCTCCCTGCATGCGAGCAAGAAGCTCATCAAACACACGCAGAAACACCAGAGGCTCTCCTTCTTGACCCCCTACAAAGTCAAGAATTGAGCACGATCACGTACCTCGTGGTTTTGCATAGTTTTCCTTGAGAGCATGCTTCCGATGAGGCAGCGTCGTCCGCCGTGACGCCATCCGTCCCAGCGGTCACACCGATCCATCCGTCAGCCTCCCTCCCATCTTCTCGTGCGATGTCCCAGGGTGACCCTCTGCCCTTCACAGGGAAGGTGACGCAGCGATGGAACGCTGAGACCATCCGGGATGAGACCAACAACATGGCGGTCAAGACGCTGCGCGTGTTCGTCAAGAACTCGGTGCCGACGCCGAGGGGAGGCGGGTCGGGGCACATAGCGAAGGTCAAGAGCATCTATCGGACGCTGGAAGGTCAGCGGGAATGCATAAGGAGTCATTGTTGGGGTCCCAGAGGGTGTGGGTGTGATGATGCCGTGTTAATGTGTGATGTGTTTGCAGACCGTCCTGAGGTAGAGATTCGTTTGCTTGGGAACTTTGCCACCGTGTTGGACTTCGTCAAGGCAGGGGTGGGCAGGGCAGGGCAGGCAACACGCGCGCAGCACACACTTGTCTGTCTTCCTTTCAACCATTCACTGGTGTGCCTGTGTCAATATGGTGGGCGGGTGGTTTGGTTCAGGACGAGATCCGTCTTGATTTCGCTGAGTGGAAGTTCCGCAACGCTCCTCAGGAGCAGCACCAGCTCAACGACAACTACGCCATCATGGACCCGACGGCAGCCAACCCAGAGGCCAGAGTACGCCACAAACTCACACACTCATGACATTCGGTAACCTGCTCTCCCCATCCATGCAGGTGCAGGTGGTTCGTCAGGACTACGAAGGCTTCCCCGCGAGCGTCAAGGCAGAGGATGCGGCCACATCCGACCCAACAGCCATCGTCCTCCGCCTGCCCAAGTGGACCCAGCAGTGCCGCCCGCCAGCAGGTGTGTCGGGAGCGACGAGTGCAGGGACGGCTCCGGGAGGGGGAGGGAGGGGGGCGGGGGGCGGTGCTCGGGCTGCCAAGGCGCGCAAGTACTACTATCAGCAGCTGGCGCAACTCAATGAGCGGGCGGAGGTAGGGATGTATGTTGGCACATTCTGTCTGTCTGTCGGGGTAGGGATGTGCATCTGACCCGGTGTGTGTGGGTGCGGTGCTGTGCTGTGCTGTGCTGTGCTGTCGGCAGAGTAATCTGTATGGCGTCGTTTGGGAGAACTCGAACAAGCCCCAAAGACCGTCCAGTGGGAACGGTACGCATGCAGCACATGGGCGGAAAAAGCAGCACACGATTGGCTTTGTGTTTGTGTCCTTCCTTCCTTCCTTCCTTGCTCCCTCGCCTCTGCAGTGGCTTTTTACAACGTGTTGCTGGTTGACGAGAGCACGGGCATTCCGACGGCTCAGCCACAGCCCGAGAAGCCCATCCACTCGCTGCAGCTCACCTGTGACACGCCAGACCAGCTGCCATTCCTCACAGCGGGCGACATCGTCCGGGTCCACAGGACGCGCGTGAGCCAACGACACTTAGATCCATCGCACCATATGACCACGGAGGCATTTCTGCATCTCTCTCTCTCTCTCTCTCAGCCGCTGTTCAAGAATGTTTTGGGGCAGCGTTACATGAACCTCCAGTTCGACAACTGGAAGACCAGCGTGCGCTACTGGACGGGCGATGCCGCCTCGACGCCCACACAGGCCAATGCCGGTGAGCGTCCACCCATCCATCCATCCTCTGGTGAATGCGTCGCGGTCACCTCTGTGTGTTGTGTGAAGGCATAGTGGGGAGCCGTCAGATCAAGACGACGTTCGAGCAGGACGACGAGACGACCATACAGCAGCTCAAGAAATGGGCACACGACCACATGGAGAACAACGCCGGTACGCATACACACTAACGTGCTCCACATGAATTCACTGCGCTGCTCCATGTCTGTGTCCATCCATCCATCAGTGTACTCCTCTCGCTATGTCAAGAGCCTGAGCGACGTGCTGCACAACACCACCGACAAGTACTTCGACGTCATCGCACGGGTAACAGAGAGAGAAAGAGCCTACCCCAATCCCTTCTCCCATTTCGTGTGCATCAGGTGTATGAGGTGAGGTTTGCCCCCCCGCTGCCCCGCGTCATGCCCAACGGCGTCGTGGAGCAGCCCATGACGGACGCCCACGGGCGCCACGCTTTCAGACTCATTGTAGAGGACGGCACCACCACGTGAGCAACCTGCTGACTCAAGAGGGAGGACGGCGGGCGTGGACATCTCTCTCTCTCTCTCTCTGTGTGTGTGTGTGTGTGTGTGTGCAGTGACAGGTTTCACGTATCTGGCGTCTCTGAGGACACGGCGGCCTTCCTCATGAGCGAGCCGGTCTGCCAGCCAGACAGTCAGCCGCGCAGCCGTGCATCATGCGCATGTCCTGCGTGTGTGTGTGTCTGCCTGTGTCTGTGTGTCCCCAGGGCGCCCTGCAGCCGTTCGATTGGATCCGCCTGCGCAACATCTTCCTCATGGATGAGAAACTCAAAGACGAAGCCGGACAAGAGCGTACGGGTGGAGCCAGTCAGGGAGATGACAGAGGCGCTGCACACGAGACCACTCTCTCTCTCTCTCTCTCTGTGTGTGTGTGTGTGTGTGTGTGGCTCCCTCCCTGCCTCCCGTTGATCAGTGCATCTGCTCCATGCCAACCATGAGAGGGTCACGCGGCTCCCGCTCTGGTGCAAAGACGTCCAGGACCGCGCTATGTAAGCCAACACCACAGCCACCACAACGTCACACACAGAGAGATCCATCCGTCCATCCATCCATGTGTGCCCGGCCTCTGTCAACCATTCACTCATCAGCAACCTGGGCGCGGCCCCCGATGCCGCCCCCCGCACAGCAGCAGCAGCAGCAAAGGGCAAGGCGGCCCCAAAGGCCAGACCGGTACACACACACACACACACAGACCCTTACACAGCCCTTATTCGCTCTCTCCCTGCCTGTCCACCCATCCATCCATCCATCCATCAGGCTGTGCCGCGAGCGCCTGCAGCGGCAGCAGCTGCGGCAGCGGCTGGTGGTGGAGTTGGTGCAGCGGCGTTCAAGCGCAAGGCGGGCGAGGGCATGCTTAACGGCGTGGGGGGCGGCGAGGCGGCTAACGACAGGGAGAGGAAACGGGGCAGGGGGGAGGAGGTGGGTGAGATTCGTGCCAACGTGATGGATGCATCTTCCCGGTGGATGGAGAAGTGATCCGTGTGTGTGTCCTCTGTGTGTGTGTGTGTGTGTGCAGGTTGGTATGGGTGTTCGTCGGTATCGCTTCACGAGTAGCGAGTCCAACTTGCAGCCCACGTCGATCACCATGGTGCTGCAGCACCACAAGGTAGGCAGCCACCTGGCCACAACTCAACTGACTGACGATGTGTGTGTCCGTGTGTGTGCAGGATGTGAGCGACTTTCTGTTGCCGGAGGTGAGCATCGCCTATGCCAAGGACTACATCAACAAGTGAGTCGGGAGGGAGGGAGGGCAACTGAGGGATGGTGCACCCTTCATTTGGTGTGTGTGTGTGTGTCGATCAACCGATCAGCCCCAAGGAGATGGTCCGTGTGCGGTGCAACATCTGCGAGAAGAGCGAC